CCAGACATGCTGAAAATTTTTTTAGAATGACCAGACACTTCGACCGGCAGAAATGAAAAATTTGCCGGACCAAATGGATTTTTGCCGGACCGAAAATCACCCTATTCGTTTCAGACACATACTACCAGTACAATTAGGGTAGTTTACCTTGTTTGTGATTGTGATAGGTTTGAAATGGAAGGGAAAAAACTCTTTGGGTTTTAAATAATTTTATTAGTGAAGTGTGTCGTATCATGACTGTAAATTGAAAAATACAGCTCTTAAAACTCTTGTGGGTCCTTTGGACCGACCAAGTCCAATTTTTTACCGGTCCAGACACACACACACACACACACACACACACACACACACACACACACACACACACACACATTGGGTGAACAATGTTTACATGTAAAAAAATTGAAATCATCCATACCATGTAAACATTGTATGCATGAATATAATTTATAGAAGAAGGATACAGTCTCTGTCAGAGGGTCCAAGTTTCTGCAAAGATAACAAATAAAACATAAAGAAATCTATAATATGATGCTCAAATATCTTTTTCTACAATTTAAATCCTTTTATATATATTTTTTAATTTATGGCACGAAACAGTGAAATTTTACAGGGAAGTCGGAAGAAAGGTTTCATGCAATACCACAACTTGCAAATCTTTTATTTTCAATTTCATTATTTTGATCATAATTTTGATTCACTACTACCTTTTCCTGCCACATTTATTAATTATTCCAACAACAAGGAAAGAATCAAAAACTAGTAAAAGTACTACAACCGTGGTCATTTCAGCCATTTGTTAAGTGTTTTCGGTCGTTGCCATTTTCTCAAGATACTACTTACACATTGTTGAACTTGAATAAATCGTCACATGTAAGAAGTCGTATTGTGGTCATGTTAACAGTTTTTTTTTCAATTGATCAAACACAAAAGAATTTAAATAAATAGATCCATCCTTTTTGACAAAATTGTCACTTTGTTCGGAGTCAACTCGCTGAGGACGTCTACCGCATGGACGCAGACATGTTTCTTTGCCTCTCAATTTTCAATACAGATGGCGCCACAAAGTAGCACAAGCTTTAATCGCTGTTTAATCTTTGCAGTGGTTTTCCTAAACACCGAACAACGACTTTAGTTCCTAAACAGAAAAGATGTTCTTGGAGATGTTTTCAAGATAAATAGCAAAAACTCAAATAAGAAATCAAAACCAAGACAGCTATGAAAATCATCTTAACATTTATCAATGTGTCATTCCTTTACATTATGCACGTTAATGGGGTAGGGGGTGGAGGTAGTTAATTATGTTATATGATATATAGATTATACTTTTCATTTTCTACACCACAATAAAGCTGTACCTTACACTGATGAAGGCCACGGACCAGAGTGACCGAAAACTGTAAGGAACAGCTTTATTGTGGCGTAGAAAATGAAAAGTAGGCCTATAATCTACAGTATACATGTATATCATATAACATGATTAACGAACTATACAAAGATGAATTTTCATCAGAATAGCTTTGTTCCATGTTAACTCTACTAATATGAAGGTAAACAATCCACTGTTTGCTTTTTTAAAAATTTAAAACCCAAGAGTGTTATCCCCATCAATTCACCACACGGCATTGTAATATCAACATTATACGACAACTTTGCACGGCAATCCACTAAAAAGGAACCAGGTGCCTGATAACGGGATATCTGACATGTATGTTAATATAGAGGCTACACCTTTTGTTTTGTTGAGGGATATTAATATACACTTTTTTTGGTGAGATACCTACGCTTTGCAATAGGGCTTAGACAAACTTTATCAAAAATGGGGTATATTCGTTTTTCAGAAATTTCCAGACCTGACACAACAATTGATTGATTGGTTCACACTAGCTTATTAGTATTTGCACTGTTTTCATTGATATACTAGTATGATATGATATGATATGATATGATATGATATGATATGATATGATTTTTCTATATATGGTAGAAACACTATACAATCTGTTTATAAAAATTGTCCCATCCATATCTAAGAACGAAAATTGGCGCAGTGGCTCAGGAAAACCATAAAAGTATGGGGAAATGGAGTGAATGTGTTAGTTGCGCTGTTTGAATGTGAATAGGCCCAAGTGCAGTCCTCGGGCATCTACCACAACAAACATCCCAAAATTGACTTATTCCCTCTGGTATGCTCTCCGATTTCTTTATTTATTTATTTTTTAATTTTTCACCTTATGTATGCACCATCTTTTACGCCCTTGCATTTTAGTGGAGTACCTTTGAGAATTAGATCAATTTATTTTCGTGCCACCAAAGGTTTTGATTCCTAAATCGCCAGACGATCACTTGTCGTTATGGAGTCGGGTGATATTTAGTTACGTGTAAGGTCATGCATGCCGTCCTGATAATCATGCATCATGATTACACAAGTTGGCTATCTAAGTTCAGCCATCGAAATAGCAAGTAACGTATTGCAGGCTAGTCCACTCATAAACGTGTGAATCACTGGCTCCTAAAAACCCACACGTGTGCGAATTATTGGCACAAAATACCCCATGAACGGATTTTGATCAGTTGTATTTTTTCAATACCTCTTATCTCCATGCTCAATATCAACTTCACTTTATTCAATTTTTCTAAATACGGGATAAACAACCGCGATCATGTCTTATTCCCTGTTTTTCGTACAATATTCACATTCCCTTATGGAGTCATAAATGAGATCCCGTGCTCCATCTCGATTATTTTTTCACTATTAAATATTTTAGAAAATTGCTTATCTAATTCATATAGAGACTATCATTGACAAACTTTACTTAATCTTTATCGGAAAAAGAACGCCCCTATGTTTTAAAATAGATCAGATCCATTGTTTGACTTATTGCGTTGTGATATATGAAAAGACTAGTAATTCAGAAAACAAGAGAGAGATGATAATTGATGAATAAAGTTGGCACCAGGATGGATTAGCTTTGTGATGGAAACCAAGATATAACATATCAAGCCTATCTGAAGTGTATAGGTGGCGTAATTAGTCGATTTCATCTTCGCCAGTATGGGGTCTCCTTGCGTAATAAATATCCCTTGTAAGTATTGCCTAATAAAGAAGTGATTTAGCAATTTTCTTTCTCTTCCGTTTTTCGCTATCATTTTTAGAAAATCGATAATTATATCCAGCTGAATAACCCGTCGTGTTAAGATGTCTAACTGGTTAGTTGATAAATACGTAATTTGCTAGACAACCTAGCGCGTCACTTTTAATACAAGATGAGGTTTCATATGGCAAGCTAGTGCTAGCGTTCTCGAGGACAGACGCAAAATAATTTTCTGAGTGCGTCATCTTAAAATGAAGCGTCAGTAACACTTCATTAGATATTTCCTAGAAAAAAATATGATTTGTGCTCACTGATTGGTTTCATTTGTTTGTTTTTCTTTATTTATTTTCAATTACTAGTAAAAACCAAGTCACATAATGTGCATTTGATAGCTTTAGCTGGAATTCGAATTTATCAAATTAAAATTTACAGAACCAACTTTCGTGTCAAAGAGTATATATCTAGCTATTGCAAATGCATTTGCTCTCCAGCCTCTATGTTAAGACAAACAAATCTCCATTTCCTCTTTTGCCCCCACCCTTTCCCACCCCCCACCCACCCACACACACACACACACACACACACAACGCACACGCACACACACATACACACACTTATCATGAAACTGTAAAGTTAAAAGGAAATATTAATATTTGAGCAGTCGGCTAATAGCCTACTGAGTAGTATATCTTGTCACTGGAAATGGGCATACAACCTGTCAACACTCACGGCATTTTTTTTTTTTTTTACATGATCTACAACAAATTCCTGCTTTAAATTTTAAAAAAATATTCTTGTTTCTGGTTTGGTATACGCCAAATGCTAATTCTACTTATTTGAAAATATCCATCATATTATTGTCAAAGCCTGCCACTAGTACTTAGATCTGGCAATGATAAATGTAACTGTTGCGATACCCAGGGTCAACGTATTTTATGCCGAAGCATCAGATTTATGCGGACTTTCTTCGCAAACATTCACGCTCCTACGTGTTGTATCCACCTTATCTATTCTTATCATGCCCGTCATCTCCCTTAGGCTTGTGTTATATCTGCGACAAGTCCACTATGATTACAAGGGACAATGCTTATCTCTTTGTGGCTGGTGAAATGGAGGACACCGGACTGGTAACGAAATATTGACAGTAATGTGTGCCTTGCATTATTGCCGTCATCATCTTGGGTCTGTGTTGGGGAAAGTCACAGTCATTTATCATTGCGACCATCTGGCAGAACAATAATGGTTAAGCTAACCTTAAATGAATGCCTGATAATTACCTTTTCTCCCATTAAAAAAAAACTGTAGTGGCATTTCTGAAGTTCGCGATGCCAAAATTCTTATAATATGTATTGACACCTTTCGTTTTATTGTTTTTTATATAAAGGTACATACGTTGTACACTAATTCATGTAAAATACATCAGCAGTCGTTGTCTTTTCCAATGCAAATGATCCCTTATGTTGAGAGGAAAATAACAAGGAAAAAGTTATTAATATAATTAATAAATCTTGATTCAAGACCGATGTTTTACCCTCTACAAGGACCACAGATTGATATTTCACCAGATATTCATATTGACATATGTTTCTTGTTAATTCTACACTTCTTTGCATTGTAAAAAATTATAAATAGGATTGTCATCACTAAGCCGGCCTCTAGTATAGAGTGCTAATAATGTGCCCCCCCCCCCCCCCAAAAAAAAATAAATAAATAAATAAATAAAAGAAAAGAAAAAAAAACATGGCTGACAAACAAAGAAAACACCATCCTTTTCATGATATAATTTATTGATATCTTATTCTAAACTTGTCATGATAGCACATGCAATGGTTTGCAGAAATGAAGTATAGAATGTCTTTCATTTGATGAATAATAAATCGAATATGTGAGCTATAAATAAGTTCAGATTAAATATCTTTGAACTGTATTCAGTATGATATGCAGTCGTGGGTCCTTAAGTATTTTTTCCTGTCCGCTCACAGGTATATATATGGAATTTAACGGTGGTAAGGTATGGCCTTACATATCAAATAATCATGATAAGGTCCGTGCGATGTGTAACTGAATAAGTTTCCTTAGGAAAACCTGGTAATCAATTAGAACAGGAATTAGCAATAATGTCACGTTGCCTTTGGGGGGGAATTGCTTACGTCCCTTCGAGGGCTTGAACTAGACTTTTAAGAACAGCTTCCATCTCGGAATAAATTTGCTTGTCACTGAAGGATTCAGCTGAGGCCATTGTGCTATGCTTTAATGGCATATAATTGCAAGATAATACATCCAAGTCCGTGGAATTGGCATCATTGGGTGGTGTCACCTGAGTTGCACCTATTGAGCCTGATATGTTATTCCATATAGCATTGCTGTCAAAAGTCAGTGACACACTTCTTTTATCTGTGTTATCGCGCGGCAGTTTAGTTCCGTCGGTGTGATCGGTAGGACACTGCGGCGTCTCAGTATGGGCTATGCATTTATCATCTATTATCTTTTCTTGTGACTCGGAGCCATTGACACAGTCGATTATTTGCTTGTCCCAGTCATTGTTGTTGACAACATCCACGCATTCATTATCACATGCTGCTGAACGTGTTGTTGATGTACTGGAGAGGATAGTTTTATTATATTCTTCGGTTATGGAAGTGAGGAAAGAATCCTCTGGTTGATGGAAGTCACGAGCCCAAGAACGTTTCCTTGAATAAATATCATTATAAGTATCGTAGTCCATTTCTCGCCATTTTTTCTCGTCGCGTATCTCCTTCTGCATTCTTTTCATTGTATTGTTAATCAAAACAGCTCGATGTAAAACTTTCTCCGGATCGTCAATTTGCCGTAGTTTCTGAACGGACATTTTATATATCTTTTTCTTCTCGTCTCTACGTTGTTTAGGAGTGTTGTCAAGGGGAGAAATGCGCCGCGTCCTGGCGGGAGGTATAAAGTCATTTTCTTCCTCCTGCTCTTCCCGGCTTAATTTCAGTTTTCTCTTGATCCCCGCATGAATTGGCCTGCACTCATCACTTGTGTACACACTCCTTTCACTACCTGTTGAGGACAAAGAAAGATACGGCCATGTAACACTGGAGGCATGTCAAATATGTTTATTCCATTCTGGCCGACAGCTGGCAGGGCACGCACAATAACACCATATGTACAGCAGGAAAACGGGGCCCCATTAATGTACACACAAATGTGATTACAATAACAGGAGTCAATTTCTTTTAAATTCAACTACCCATTAGGTCAATGTTAACGCTGGCACGATTTGCTGCCAAAATAAAACAGGATATTTAAAGGCAGCTACGACGCCAGAAAAAAATCCCTTTAAATGATATACTATCAACAGATCAAACAAACTATATCCTCTTGTGGTCTATGGATCAAATAACCGTAACACTATATTTACTATGCCACTTAAATGTATATATATATGAAATAAAACAGACTTTCTAATACTAGCAAATATTGATTCGGCACTCACCAGTGTAATTATGTGCTTTGTTCGATTCTCTGTCGGTCTCCTCGTTGTTAGTGACGGGGTGGGTTGAAGCTGCCCACTCAAGCCCGATTTCCCCCGTGTCTAAAAGGCTGTCGATACCCGTTGAGAACCCCGGGGACGGGTTGATGTAAGTGGCTATAGGGAGCACGAGAGTCATTCCGCTGCCTCGTCTAACCGCTGCAAGGGGGTGCACTAATTCAACATCACTTCAGGCTTATCTAATAAACAGAAGGAAATAATCCCACATGTAATTCACTCCGTTAAACATGATTTGTCGGGCTGCCAGGTGGGCAGAACACGATTTAACAATACAATCAAATCATCAAGTGATTGAATATTGAGTCGTAATTATATCTCTTTACTAGGGCTTCGTGATTTGCCAATCTGATGAATACATTAGTTTACACATACGTGTAATCCCTATGTCAGTAATGTCTCCGTCTTTCAACTCCCGAAGCCATATCTGTGAGATTGATTTAGAAGTTCAACCTCAGGCTGCTCACTTCACAAAGACGATCGATTCAGGCTGTGGACTCGCAATATCAACGATAGTCTTATCATATCCCATTTAATTATCAATACCTACGTTTCTGATACCAGCGGGTACATACCAGCACAGCCTACGAGCACAAAATGCTCCAATTAAGGTAACGTAAAAATGAACAACACTAGAACGCCATAAAACTACCATCACAGTGTATCAGGTAAATCACATACCGTACATATTACACCTTAAATAATGTAGCGTGATTCCCTGCTTCGCGCACACCGAGTAACCGGGGTCCCACACTGCTGCCCGAACAAAGACATCTGAGCTAATATAATCTTAAAGAGCAGTCTCCCGTTTACCGGCAGTAAATTTACCTTATGCTGGCCTTGAGAAATTGATCTGTGTTCAGGATCGATTATCTCTCTTTTAGTAGGGTGAACAATATTGAAACTTTCTCCTGTTAAATTGCTGGTAGATCGTCCGAGTAAACAAAACCTGTGTGATTCGTGCCTTCGTGCACCGAGCATCTGTTTGGTTATATCATTTGTTAAGCAGGCACGCGCGCCGGGCCTTTGCATAAGAATAGACCTAGGTTGATAATCCTCTCACCGGGCCGCGCGTGACGTCAGGGTGTTCTCCACACATAGTGGAAACAACCTTAGAACTATATATATTTGGACTCAAAATGTCCGGACCCTACTGGGGGGATTCATGATAAATAATGTTTTATGTACTCATATCTCCTTGTATTTGATTCATTTTTTTTAATCCGCGAAAAATTGAAGTTGTCTTACTCGATTCGTTGATATAAGGGAGAGTGAAAAGGTTCTTAACGGTATACTGCGAGTCAAATGGATTTTTATCCTTAATTTACCTTTATCATAGATTATCACTTGAGGTGAACGAAAGGTTGTAACTCGAGCATACCATGTACAAGTGCACCTGTAGTACTTCATTGGCAAGAGATCAGTTTATTGCATGTATAAATGCATCGCATGAAACCACGCTTTATTTTACACTTATTTCATGTGATTTTGTGCGCGTGTGCGCGCGCGGGTTGAGGAGGAGCGGAGACATATCTCTAAGGCTCATGGTTTACCATTCTCGTCCGTCTCACTTCCTCTTATTTGTCTTAGCTTGGATAAGCAAAATTAACAAGCATGACCTCAAGGTGTAGTTAGTTAATGACTGTTTGATTAAAATTTGCAGTCATTATTTCAACTGTTGCAAAAAGCGACAATACGGGCCTGATAAATATCTTGATTGTATTAAATGCCCCTGTTTATTTTGTAATATTTATAAAGTAATAAGTCACACAATACGTGCTTAACATCATACAAAGCGAAACCAGATCAACGCGAAGTGGCATGAGTAATCTTAACAGTGAACGCTGCTGTGGAATTTTTAACGCAGGTTGTGAATAGCGCCTTGTCTCTTCGCATTTTGATGCGAATGAGTAATTCGAACAGTTGCCATACTAAACTTGGTTCAGACTTGGTATGATCCCACTTCAATTGCCAAAATCACTTTACAGGTAGGAAGATTTCTTTTGAACCACGTCGCAGACATTAAAATGTTTTTGAGCTCAGAAATTCGACTGCATATCTATTCCCCAGCTTATCTAAAAATTCCTGGAAACTGAATGCCAGATTGCCTGGAAAATTGCGACTTCTCTTATTAGATGGATGAAACACCAGTTATAGGTCACAGAAGGACATTGTCTCTTGGAGAATAATACATGTTGGAACATCAGTGAAGCTGTTGTAGTATTGTTTACTTGGAATCTTCTAGATCTTTATCATTTTAAGGTATCCTATCTAGACTTTTCTGACCAAATCGAATTTTCTTCGAAAAGAAAAGCAGATATCTCTCACTCACGAATCATTGCTTGGCTCTCTCGGCACTTACATTTGGTGTTTTATGCCATATTAAATTTAACAATTATGTTTAAAATCACTGGCCAGTTACTCGGGCTGCTTTGTCTTCCTGTCCATTTCACATGGAAATATTGACATCAGGTACATGTACGTTTATTTGACTTATTTGAGGGGCTTCCTCGCCTTTAAGGTCTGAATTGGGGGGGGGTAGCTTTGTGAGATATGCAGACATAAAGCATGTGATTTTGAGACAATTTCCAACGAGGACAATATACATTTAATCAATCTCCTCGTCGTTTGTTTACTGTCAGTATCATATGGAGTAGGCGGCAATGGTGGTTCACGTAGTTGGGGTGGTCGGTGCGGAGGTGGACATAGAAATGCACAACACCATTGTTGTAGTGGGAGTCAAAAAATATTATCTTTTCTATCTCTTATCCTTTCACACTATACTATTATTACTTTATTCAATTATACTAATGCTGGGCTTCTGAAGCCTCAACCGTGGCTTCGTCTGTTGAGAGGATAATTAATTAATCACGGTTGTCCCCTCGCACATAAAATTCATCGATTGGAATATTACATCTATTGATGTTATTTAAAGGTTGATAAAAGAATCACTTTAATTTCAATGTGGAAAGCCACCGATAGTGTTTAAATGATGACTTGAAATGTCGCAAGGAAAAAAGTAAACATGTCGTCGCACTAGACAGATTGATCACTTTGCATATCTTTGTCTGACTTAAGTTTATGTAGGCCGATATGTCATGGCAATTTTCCTTTTCTAAGCCCGCAAAAAATAAAAGATAATTTTTCTCAGTTTTGTTCAAAATTTTTTCCAAAGAGACTGATTTTGTATTCGCAGTCATGCAAATGGGTAAATGATGACAAAATGTAACAAAATAGCTGTCAATGGTGGGAGTTTATCTTTTTTTTTTTTTTTTTTTTTGCATGATGTAAAACACTGTTTAGTCACGGTTTGCGACTCGCTTAAGGAAGAAAGAATGGTATGGTTGCTCAGACTTCCCTGTGTATATTTACATTTCAAGATTAATGGAACACCTGTTCGGCACTTCCAATATCTCAGAGTAAACCCAAACACACTACGCAACATTGATGCACCTGCAGAGGACGTAATCGTGCATCGAATTACACTTTTCCTTTTTTCCGATTCTCTAGTCTGTTTCCAGTTCCCTTTGTTTAGTGAGATCGGATATGAAATGTGCGACGACAATCTTTTCACTGTGAGCTCAATGATTAAAATGACAAGGTCACGACCCCACTGACGACCCCTGTATTCACCGGGTGTCATTTAAAGCACTATATAGCTAGCGTGAAAAGAATACACTAGCTGTAAATTAGCGTACAGGTGCGGTGTATGACCGGGGTATTATTTACAATATGCTGAGTTATAACAGCGGCGCTTAAGGTTCGAGGCCCGAGAATGGATTATCATGGTGTTATCCAGTTGCCGGCCCACTTCTTTTTGACAATAGACTTTCGTTATCAATTTAATCCGGAGTGTACAGGTGTCATACACATAACTACGATGCAACTATAAGACACAATGCTTAGGCCTACGTGCAGGCGCCGAGGACAATCCCTTTAGACAAACATCGTCTTCTTTTTATTGATGAATTATAATTACATTTAACAGACTACATCTCGGTGGTAGTCTATAATTTACTCTCTTCTCTGGTGTAGCCGTGAAATTACTGAACCCTTGCACGGCGATGATTTATTTTTTTCTTTCGTGCAATAAGCTTACCATGTGGGATTCAGTAAAGAGGAAGAGCTGTTTTAAAACAACTGTGACCCAGGTCCTAACCCGGGAATGTCCCAGGTATTTCAAGATTTCATGTAAGATATGACGACTAATACCACTTATTAGGACAATTACCCGATTCCAAAGGGGAGCCAAACTTATCTGAAATTGGGACAGAAACACTAAGGACAAGACACCGACAGACATTACAAAAGACATGCGGGGACAATCGCTAGACAAAAAAGAAATTGAAGAATCCATTTGGAAGTGATTATGATTAATGGTTTCAGAACCACTTCAGCCTGTTGAACTTTTCCCACTCGACAATCATTGATTTCTCCACTAATAAACTAAGAGAAGTCTCGGCGAGCTGCCTCCGATGGGTACTTTTCATGATGAAGGCATCAGAAAATTTTTCTCGCATTTGATAATATAACAGACATCCTAACTTCCACCCACCCGCTCCGCGCACTCCATACATCGCCCACTTCCATCTTACTACCGAGAGAAGCAATTAAACTAATGATATGTGTACAGCTTGAAGGGCATTTGAACTTAATGTCGATATGTGCACGTCTAACAGACTGCACCTGTCCTTCTTCCCGCTCCTGTTGACTAAGAATAATATAGTACTATAATTACCTCACCTTGATGTAATCTGCAATACACCATCCGCTGTGGGATCAAACATTAACTGCTTCGGACATCTTTGATCAGTATATAATGTTCATATATTTTTGGACTCTAAATGTCGTTATGTAGTTGAAAGAATAAACAAACATTGAGTAAATTTGAAAAAAAGATATTTATAAGCATGGTGTCCACGGCAGTGTTGGATAGTCAGACCAAGGAATTTTATCGGACCCATCATTTAAAGAATAAAAAATAAGAAACTTTAATCTTGGGGATTTTTTTTTTTACGTATACCATCCCTGTGACTGCCAGAGAATATGTCCCTAAACTTCCCATTAACCAGATAAGATTAAGAAGTGGCTTTTTTTTTTTTTTTTTTTTTTTTTTTGGGGGGGGGGGTGAAAAATTTTAAAGGGTTTCGCCCCCCCCCCCCCCCCCCCCCCAATCTGGCGGTCCCTTTAAATGACTGCAACTGTCATGTCTACCAAGATTTAAGCAGCAGTTCGTGAAATCTGAGAAAGACATTTTGTTTTCCCAATGTCTTTTTTACCTTTTATCTACAGACCTACAAACCCTGAAATACTGCATAAAAACAATTTCGTCCGAATGTAACTAAGTAACGCAAAGTCTATCTATCTAAAAAATTAACTGATCCAAAATGTGTATGCTGTTTTATTAAGTGTATTCTTTTGAGCAGGTGTAATAAATATTTGGCTTGAAAAGGTGTAAATTGCTTCTGGGATATTGATATCAGCTACTTGAACAGGAGCATAATACAAAGGAATTTCATGAACTGCCATCTTGAATAAACAGTAAATTATGCACAAAATCTATATCTGGTGAAGGATGACCCATCTACAATATTTGTACTTGATGAATACACCGATTAAGCCTAATAATTCATACTCTCGTGCCATTTCCTTTCCCGCTGATGCTTAATGAT